ATTTATTGTTTTTAACTATTTTTTTGATTTTAAGTGATGAAGTTCTATGTCTTTATTGTAAAAAAGACAGGAGGAGTATTTTTTTTTTTTTTAAAGCTTCATTTCTTGTTTTCGGTTTCTCCACTAAAGATTCAGAAAAATGGGATTCACAAGGTGGGTGAGAAAAGAAAGAAAAAGCTTTATTTGTTTTTTTAACTCAACCCCTTAAATTAATTTTTAGTATTAATATGAAATCATTTTTTAAAAATACTACATTTGTTTGATTTTTAATTTTTATATTTTTCTCCGTTAAATATATTTTCATATTTTTAAATTTTTTAATAATAAATTAATTATTTATTTTGAATAATTTTATTTTTAATATTTCCTTTACAATTGTCACATATATATTTTAATATTAAATATATATTATTTAATAAAATTTATATTCTTTTTAATCATTTTATATTTAAACTAATTTTTTTATTAATTATATAAACAAGTTCTAGGCTGCCTTTGGATCTCCATTTGCAATGGCAAACATGCCTAGGCAAATGTAAAACGCATGTTGATAGCTTATTTGAAGAAGTCTAGTTGTTTTTTTTTTTTGACCTGAGAAGAAGTCTCGCTGTTTGGCATAGCCTTTTTGTAAATGGACTCTTTGTTTCATCGTACCTTGCAAATGAAGCTACCTTTTGCTGTGTCAGAACTCAGAAGTAAAAGTCCATTGCCAACGCGGAAAGAGAAGGACAATAGTGAAGAGACAAAAGGCTATCTTGTATTGTTGGGGAGAAAGATAAAATCACTATAAAAAAAACCCAATAACTTAATTATTTACAATAGTATCCTAAGAAAAAATAATTAATGAACTTTATTCATATGTATTACTAATTTTAAATTTTTAATTAAGCTCTAAAAATCTGCAAAAAAAAAATAAAATATTATTCAATAGCTATATGTACAAAAATTATGTTAAATATATCTAATTAAGTTTTTTTTACTATTTGTTTTTCTTATAATACCTTAACTCTTTATTTTTATGCCTTTAATTTTAATATTTTTCTTAAATTTATTAGATTATATACATTATACATATATAAAATAAGACTCATACTTTTTTTAGTCAAATTACATCTAAATTTACTTTTCAATTACTCTTCCAAATAAGTTTCGATTTATCAAATTAACCTTTTATAAATACCAATCCAAATATAAATCACATTATACTAACTGACTTTTACTCCAACTCATGTTTGTAAAAATCAGATGGAATAAAAGTCAGTTTGTCACCACTAATCCAAACACAGTTTTAATTTCTCAAACTGATTTTTTTTTTTACACAAAAATCAATACAAACATAAGTTATATTATACTATCTTCCTTTTACCCAAAAAAAATTGCTTCTACCACTACTAATCCAACCACACTTAGTTATTTCGGTCTGTGCCTATTTTTTTTTCGTTTTTTTTTTGTGTGGTTGCTGTTTACTTTTCCTTGTAAGCTTTTTAACTCTAATGGAATACTTTTCCACGGTTAAAAAAAAAAAAAAAGCGTTAACCTTATACCATTGCATGGGGTGCGCCAATGCTTTAAAGATGCACCAACCTAAAAATCAATAGGAAGTGCATGGCAGTGGCTTCTTTTAGTTTTACATATACAAAATGATATTATTTCAAGTTACATTCATCTCTGTTTTTATATAACATATATTTCTTTTTATTTTAGTGCCTTGTCCTATTTGGGCGTGTTCTTTTCAAGTTCATTTTGTTGACAAACTCTCAACCACTTGGGAAAAAAAAAAAATTTAAACATCCTAAGGCGTTTTAGAGGTCTAGTAGACTAGCACCTTAAAGGCATCTCCTACCTTTGGTAATATTGCATGCTACCTCATATTCTTAAGCTAAAGGGTTAGATTTAATTTTAACTATAAGATATTAATTCACTTTGTCTTTTATATTTATATTTTTTTTCAAGTTATTCTTATTAATGATACATATTAAGAAGTTTCTACTAAAAAGTAATTCTAATAGATATAATTAAAAAGAGTATATTAGAGAAATTAATATATATTTATTATAAATAACTAATTTAACTAATAATTACGCTTCATATAAACTTTATGTTTGTAATAAAATAAGAAAAAAATGACAAATAAAGATTGTGAAAATTGCAAAATCCTAAATCAGGATTCATTAGAATACTACACTTTAAGAGGTTTTGACAATATACTTACAAGTAAAAACATATTTTTGTAAAAAAATACTTGATTTTGAAAATTTGCAATTCTTACAATCTCTTTTTATCATTTTTCCTAAAAATAAAAGTTTGTAGTTTTTTCTTTTAATATTTTATAAGAAACCAACCTCTTCCGCTGCATCTAATCTGCGTTGGTTTTTGCTGGTGTTGTAGAAATTTTTATTAAAAAAAAAAAAAAGCACCGTTCACCTTAATTTTTTTTTTAATTATAAAAAGAAATAAACTATCGTTGGGTAGTTTACTAGTTTTCGAAGGACTTGGTGGCGCTTCCTTGAATTTTCCACTACTTAAACAATCATTGCATTTCCTCGATCCTTGTCACTTACTAGTACTTTGTTCGTTTCTTTGATTATCAAAATCGATGCAGACAATAGTAAAAGAAGACTTGAAGTTGTCCGTTTTCTCCGAGTCGCCTTAAAAAATTGTAAAATTCGGCAATAAAGTTTCAAGGAATCATCTTTTCTTGTTGCTATCTCTTGTTGAACTGCTTGCTTCTTCTTCATCCGCCCGTCCTGCAAGTGCGATCGGTCTCCTCTTCGACCATTACGGTATTTATGCATTCAACTTCTCCTTTCACTTTTGTCCTGGTTTGAGTTTCCCCACCCCGTCTTCTTTTTCTTCCTCTTCTCTCTTTGCACGCACACAAATTTTTAAATGGGTTTTGCAAATAAATTCAGATGGCTGCGCAATATTATCATTTTGGACGTCACCAGATTTCCGAGAGTGAAGTGTTCTACACCACCCAGCTTTCATTTGCCCTTGTCAACAATCGTCCTGTTCGTCCGGGTATGGTGTTGGCTCGATCATCAGTTCTCTCGTCTCTGCTGATTGTGTTTAATTTTAGTTTGATTATTCAAAGACGCGTGATCTAGATCATCTTACTTCTTATCTAATCAGTTTTCAACTAAATAGCTTGTTTTACTGTTTTTTATTGTATTTCCTCTTCCTTTTGCAGGTCATATCCTTTCTTTTTTATGGGTTGTCGTTGATACAAAGCATGTCGCGATCATTATTGCAGTTTTTTAGTTGGGTGGATTTCAATTATGGCTTTGTTTCGTTTGCAAATTAGAAACGAATTTAACAACTCTGATTCTAGCACAATCGTTTCTGAGTTTCACTGGTCCCTGATTGTTAGGAAGTCGGAACATATGGCGGCTTCTGTACAATTAGAGTGCCTAATTTGAGATATATGATTTTATCAGGGAAATGTGAATAATTTCACTAGAATGTTTGTTCCTAGGCGTTGATATTTCAAATCTCAAACAACCTGGGTAATGATGTATATAGGTTGTTGTAAAATAGTCTTGTTTCGATAAACAAGCGATATACCATGGCCTGTTTACGCCCACTAGCATCCGCATGAAGATGTTGGAAGAACAAAACCTCCTCTTGATATAATTGGCTGCACATTGCTCCTGGTACTTAGTGTGAAACTTTAACAAAGTTGGATGTTGAATTTGGTTGACTTAACAAAAATACATGTGCTTGTGTGCCCAAAGCGTGAAGTGAAGCGTGTTGCTGATCTAACTGCTGATGAGACTTGTGATTTGTGGATCACAGCACAGAAAATTGGTAGGCAGCTTGAAAGCTACCATAATGCATCATCGCTTACATTTGGTATCCAAGTAAGTTGAAGCAGAATACGCTAAGTAACCATTTATTCTTGTATTACTTCTTATTACTTTGTGTTAGTTTCATTCCTTTGACAGACACGATTAGAAAGTTGCTAGCATATTTTAATCTGTTATCTTGGACTGCTATTCTCAAACTCACTTTATCCATCTACTTTCTAGTCTAGATTTTTCACTATTGTCTAACTGTAATCTTAGGTGGGGTTTGGTGCATGGACATCACAATTTCTTGAGTACTTCGAAACTTATATATAAGAACTATCAAGTGCTTGTGTATTCACAATGTCACATTTGCCAAACAATACTTGATCATAAACTCTGAAAGTAACCACTTTAATTAAGTGATGCTATGGTTATTCTCTTCTGATATAATGCACTAAGACTTTGCTCAGGGGATTTGAATTCTGTTAAATTAGACACCTGTGAAATGCTTTTGAAGTAAGAGAGAAATAGAGAGGAGAGAGTGAGTGATCGGAAAGAGAAGTGGGTTCCACATACACTCTTATTCTCTATGTCACCTCCTCTAATTCAGAAACCTTCTAATTTCATGATCCAAATATACTGTTTTTTGCTTTCCTTTTCTCTTAGTACATGAGAAGGATCAAACTTGTAACCTGTTATCCAAATCTCCAACCCTATCAACTTTGTAAGCTGCCCCCGCTATGCAATTCGGGAGAATTATTTGAATTTGAATGCTGCCAAATGAGCAGAATTCAGCATTGTGATATGTGATTTTTGGTTTCCTTACAAGCATTACGCTATCAGCATGGTATGCTGCTCACATTACATCTGGGGAAACATACTAAATCATCTTTTTGTACCTTAGGATGGGCCCGAGGCAGGTCAGACGGTTCCTCATGTTCACATTCATATTATTCCCCGAACAGCTGGTGATTTTGAGAACAATGATGATGACATAAATGATGAAGTAGGATGAAAGCTTTTCTCTCCTTTTCCTTCCTGAAAGTTTGTGTTACATTCTAACTCTCTAACTTTGTTTTGATATTTACTGTTTGACTGTTTGGTTATTGGTGCAGATTGATTTGAAAGAGAAGCAGTTAAAGAGGAGGCTTGATGAGGAGGAGAGGCAAATAAGGAGCCTTGGAGAGATGGCTGCAGAGGCAGATGAGTACAGAAAACTTTTCCAATGAAAATTTTAACATGTGAAATAGAAGTTAAATCCTTTAAATATTACGCCTGACATGGTTCCAGTCTATTGGGACTATATAAACTATAGTAATCAAATTTGTAGCTAAAGTATAAGTTATAAAACTTGATGCTTGTGGCCTTATGGTTGTGGAGGACATCATAATATTAAATGATTTGATGGTTCAGTCGTTTCTGCTGCATTTGTTGTTATCATTGATATCTTGTGCATGGTCTAAAATTTGATAAATAAGTGATAATAAATCATAATTTACGTATTATTAGAGCTTTTATATTATAGTCTTTGTTTTGCCTACAAGCAACATACTATGAGAAATGGTAACCTTTTAATAATTAAGCAACTAAGGAAAGTTTAACAAAGTTTAGTTTCTTAAAGTTCAGAAAAAATATTGCAGATTTTATAATTTCAACGAACTTCTGACCTATAATTAAAAGATTGATAAATCAAATTAGTATTAAATTGATTAATGAAATTAATAGTAAATTGATAATATTTTCATTCATAACACATCAAATTGAAAAATTTCCGTGAGACGCCAAGTTGAGAAAATTCTGCAAGAGACCAAATGAAACACTTCCAAATATGTTAAGAACCAAAATAAAAACTTCACGTAAAAATATGTAAGTGTGCCTTCTGAAATAGTTACCCCACAGTAAACTTCTGCATGCACTTGTATTTAAACGAGTGACAAACCTAATGATACTTCGTGGCAAAAGCAGATAGGCCAAAATATATAGCCATCGAATAAAGAACCTTGACAATACATGCAGATCAATCTAATTATGTTAAACAAATGGAAGCAGAAGATACGATGCTCTTTGATGGTTTCTCAAGAGAAGGAAGAGAAATTATACATATATGCAGAATAATTAGGAGAAGCATGCTGGCACTGAAGCCATCGACTTAAAACTTATTCCCGCCAACATCAAAATTGGGGAACAAGGCTATGTAAGAGAGAACAGAAAGGCTATGTTATAAAGAACAAAAAACTAGTGAACACGCGCACAAGTGCAGTTCTTTGGTGTTTGCTATCAAAATCCTTCAACAGAGGCATTACATGTGGAAACTTGTTTAAAACAGTCAAAAGTAGGATGCTTAATGTTAACAAAAGTCCACATGTTATACCTCTACTGAGAAACCTATGTAAGATGTATTCAAGGTAAGGATGTATAACTAAAAACCCATCTGATAAAGAAAAAGAATGTTTAGTTGTTAACCTTTTTGTTAAGAGTCATCCAGATCCAGTTCCATCCCCAAGCGTTTCTTCAAAATTGTATTGGCATCTAAAGATTGGATGCTTCTTCTCTGTAACTCCTTGAATCTCTCAACATCAAAATTATACCTCTTGATAAGCTTCTTCCGCCGAGAAATGAAGAGCCTCTTCATGAAGTCCTGATATGTGGGGTCCCTTGAAGTGAACAGAAAGTAGGCATAACCTATTACTAAGCCAGTGGACGTGACAAAAAATGCAATGGGCTCCATCACATCCCATGAGAATTCCCAGAATGTTAGCCTGAAGAAGAGGCCAACCTGAAGCAAACTGGCTCCTAGTCCGCACCAGAGAATTCTCCGGACCTGTTTATGTGCTAACATATCAATTTCTAGTTTCTTCTCCTGCAGCCTCCTCAACTCCTCACTTGTAGAATCCTCACAAGTCAGTACCAATGGAACAGCTCTTCGAACAAGATCAGCCACCTAAACATGCAGAGAATTGGCCCAGCGACAGAAAATAAAGAGGAATCAGCAAACAAGATGCTAAAAAGCAGAGCAACCGCCCAAACAATCAAATTGCATAATAGTCACCCAGTTTTATGAACAATCATGTACTAAAAAGTAAAAACCATTTCCTTAATGGATTTGTATTACCTCAGCCAAAAAAAAAAAAGAAAAGAAGCTACAACGCATAGTTATAAGAAAATTATTTATTGCTGCTGTCTCATTTGGTTCTTCTGTGGCTTACTGTAAACCAGCCAGCCAGCGCGCCAGCGCCCAGCAGCCCCAATGTCGGCACTGCAAGAATGCCCATATTTCAAGTTGCAGCATTGAGAGTAAGCACGAATGCTACTTATAATTATGTCGCATCAGAAGGAGTCAATCAGATTTTGAGATAGTCAAATGCTTGATTCCAATACTTCATACAAAAGGACCTAAGATCTTCGCTTCGGATAGCTTGCCAGCAAATCTTACCCACCAATGCTAAAGCAAGCTTGAGTGATTAGTCAGGGTGAAATCTCATCAATTATGAAATAAAATATTAGAAAGGTCAACGTCACTATAGTTCCAAATAGTTGAGCATTCTCTAGCATGCTGCTTATATCCAGGAAATGATGCCACTTACAGCAAGTGATAGAATTTCCCTATTTGCCAAATATGAACAACGTTGAGCTAAGTCATCAATACCTTATAAATTAAAACCAAGATTTAAAACTAAAGAATTAGTTTAACAATATAATCATTGTTAAGGAAAGAATATATTGAGGGAACAAGAGGGCCAGAGTCCACTCTTACCAAAAAGCAGGAAATGAAGGGCTAATGGCATCTTGTGAGAAGTGATGCCAACTACACATCACTTTTAGTAACATATTTCCATCTGGAAATGCTTTATTGTATGCTCCACAGGCAGAAGCAAAGTATACAATATACAAAATAAAGATCCAATTCAAATCTGATATAAAAGGTGAGCAAAAAAAAACATGAAAAGGTAAGGGCACCGAATAGTACAAGTTAAAAACTCACCTTTTGAGGATGAAGATAGACCTTATCCCTGAAAAGAAGAATGACTCCAGCTTCGTCAAGAACGCGAGCATAAGCTGAAGCCTCTTCAGGAGACCTAGCAACACCTGTATTCTCACATGCTTGAAGAAGCTCAGAGAATGGAATAACTTCCTTTCCTTCCCCTTCCAGCTTAGACTTGAGCGATTCCACATTCACCAATCTCATGAGCTTCTTAGCTTCTGAGAAGGACATGGTATCGCTTTTTCCACTATCTTTTCCTGTATTACCACCATTATCAGATGATTTCGAATTATTGGAGTCTTCAGGCGATGAAGATATCCCTCTCTTAATCTCACTGAACACAAATGATAAAGGAATTATTCCTCCTCCTCGACATTCTGTTGCAATATCCCTCGAACCCAATAACGGAGGATTACGAGGACGAAGCTTCCTTCCACAACCATGGCGGATGTTAACAACCGCAGATAAGCTTTGCTTCAATAAACCGACTCCACCGCCGGCACGCCACCACCTACTCCACATTTTGAAAACTCAGAGGAAGAAAGGGATTTTCGAAGAGAAAATTTTGAACTCTATATAAACAAAAATCAACACAACCGACAACTGTCATTCCATTTGGATGCCTGAAAATCCTACACAACTACCACCCACAATCTTCTGACATATTTCGAAACCAGTCTCATAAATGAATGCTAATAGCTACCACATTTCGAGAAGGGAAGCAAGTAAGAAGAATTCGAGAACATTTGTCGGAAAATTAATTTATCAAAGAGAAAGTGACGTGCTTTCGATTATATATATGGACCATGGAGCTTCATTTTGCGAACTGCAGTGTTTCTAAATATGTAGAAAATAAAAAGAGAAAGCGAGGAAAGCAAGGCAGGGGCCGCGGAGAAGGGAAGGACGAAGCTAAACGAGGGAATGAAGGGATCCATTTCTTTCTCAAACACACAAACATTCACATTAACAATGGTTTAAAGACTATTAACAAAGACTTTTGAGGACCCACGTCCACGAAATAGTCGATTCTTGACCTTGTTTATATAAATACGGAATATACGTCTATTCTAATCTCTCTCACACCCATTTTTTCAGACTCAAGAACGTGTGGTAGGAAATGGTCAATTTTGGACAAATATGCAAGGACATCTTTTCTACGGGTACATGAAACTTTTAATCCCAAACTTTTTTTCAAATTAATAATTTGATTCATAAAGTTTAATTTTGAAAAATTCACATAAAAAAAGCTTAAAATTATTATATCCTAAATTAGGTTTGTTAACCATATTTTAATAGCTTTTTATAACTATGCTTTAATTAGTTTTTACAGGAATTCCTTCAAGCTTCTTTTTATCTCTCTTTAATTTTCATAAATTAAATATTTAAAATTTCATAATTATATAAAATTATCCCTTACTTGGATTGAGAGAAAATAGGGAGGAAAGAAAATTAGAGAGGAAAACATGAGGAAAAACAAGTTTTCTTTTACTTGGATAGGAGAGAAAATACGGAAGAAAGGAAAAGTCGAGGAGACAATAAGGTGGGCCTTATGCCTTATTTTCTCTTCAAATTTTCACTCAATATATGAAGAGATTTGGGAAGGAAAACAAGATTTTCATAATGGCCCCTCGTCTCTCTTTCTCTCCTATTTATTTTTTTATTATATTTAAAAAGTTATTTGCTTTTCATTTTTTATCTTAAAACAATATTTTTATTAAATAATTTGGTTTTAAAATATAATAATATGAAAAAATATATATATAAAATAAGTTGATTTAAATTATTTGATGATGCTAATGTTAGTATAATTTTTTTATTGCAATATTTAATTTAATTTAATTTTAAATATGATATATTTTGATAAGGACATTTTAGTCATTTAGACATTTACCAATTTTCTTTTCTCTCATCCATCTAAGCAAAAAGGATGATAACAACTTCTTTCCAGTTTTTCTTTCTTTCTATTTTCTCTCCTCCTATTTTCTTTCCTCTTAACTTTTCTTTCCATCCAAGCAGAGCAAGTCTTTTTGAGCCCCAAGTTCAATTAGGCCTCAAAAAACTTATATAATACCATCTTCGGTCTTGATTATAAGACCTCGCTTGTAGTTATGTACTACTAATCTAGATTGGATTAAGTGGAAAGAGTCAGTCTCTCACAACATGATGAAACAAGATTTGAATGCCCAACGAGAGAGATACTCATACTTAGTACCAAACAGTATTTGTTTTAATTCTATATATAAAATTCAAATTCACTTTGTTTTTAAATTTATAATTTTTTTTCCTCTAAATATCCCCATTATCACTCTTTTGGTTATCAAGAAAGAAGGAAGAAACAAAAAGAGGCACCACCAACAAGCACAAATAGATCCTTCCTAGTTAGTCCGAAGATCCTCCCCAAGGGCCTTGTTTATTTTCTCAACATCAATGCATATTCACATGCATCTGAGATAGATCAGCAGTATGCAACACCTAACAGCTTTGCAACATTACTATTTCCAATTCACTTTCTTTCTTATATTTATCTATTTTAATCCTAGGGTTTCTTTATAGTGATTACAAGAATTGTTTCAATACATATAATTAATAAAGATATTTCAAGATAATTATCTAACTTTTATATTAAAGTCATAGTAGTATTGTTCCATTTTTCATCTAAGTTCTTTTATGGTTTCTTTTATGATATTAACACCATATGTATTCTCAATGCGCTGATCTTCAGTTTATCATCATCTCTTTTTCTTAATATATAGATGCTAGTTTAATTTTAATTAAGTTTAACTATTTGAGGAAATACAATTATGCAAAAGCTTTGTTCAATTAGAGATGCAGTTCCACCGCGCCTTCTTTTACCCCCATTTTACTGTCCGTCTTCCTCCTCCTTTTTCTTATGTCATCAAATTGTCAATGGTTCACAAAAAGATGAAAACCCAGGTCAAGAAAAAGAATGATTCCACTTTTTGATTTCCAAGGTAGATGCCGTATTTGTTAGCATCTGTCACAAAGTGAAAGTCGCTCTTGGGTTAAACAATGTGTACAGATTTTAACTCTTTCCAACTGTAAATAATCTTATGTATGGCATTTTGATAACCATATTTTGCTTGCAAAGAATATCAATCAAAAAGCCAATATGTGACCCGTTGTCAATGACGTACCTTTTCAGTATTTTGAACATTTTATGCTTAGGATTTGCGATGCTATGTAATAATACGCTATGTATGAAAAGGGCATATAGAGAATGATATATAAATTCAAATGGATCTCGGAGTCATCTTATTTTCGTGCTTACTTTTCATTCGTTTTCTTTAGGAAAGAAAAAAAAAGAAAAAGAAAAATACCCCCCCCCAACACCCCAATGGAGAAAGAAAGAGACAGCCTCCTGAATTATTTCGTTCATGTGTATTGCAATCTGCACAATTTACAAACTATGGATTGCAAGTGGAAACAAAGGCAATTAATCAGCCATATATAGCAATAGAATATAAGAGGAGGTTCTTGAAGGGCTCAATTGCTGTAGTTTGCCTTTGAAATAGTTCTGAACAGACCCTTTGCAATCTTCCAGAACCACACTACGTTCATCATTGCCAACACAGGAGGCACTCCAATCAAGCTGTAAAATCCCAAAGCATATATTCCTCTTATCTGAAACAGTGTCAACACACCTTTATTTAACTCAGATTCTAAATGAAAATTCTCAGGAAGAATCAACTCAAATATCCTGTTGAGCAGGGCCATTTTCGTCAAACCACTGGACAGAGAGATTAGCAACCCCCACAAAACCAGTGTAGAGATTTGTGGCAATAACATTCCACAATAAATATTTTCTTTTGTGCGGACGTGTATTTGTCTTAAAACTAACGGTCAAAACTGCCTACCCAACAGCCATTCATAAAGATGGGAGGAACTTCTCTTTAGAGCCACTAGTGTGATGTTGAATTATAAGTGAAGTCCACATTTTTATGCTTTTATTGGACAGCCACATAATAACCACCCAGAAAAACTCTACTTTTTAGGTCTTGTCTTCATTATCAGATACGAGAGGAGTCACTAAACACTCTTGGGCAAAAAACCATTGATTGAAAAACCACAAAAAGATGTAGTTTCCACCGTGTGTAAACTATTCTGTGTGTGAAATTAAGGAAGACATTTCAGGAAATTAGAGAGCAAGTGCTAACCTCGTCAAAGTGGATCCACATGTGGGCGAAAAAGAAGATGAACAGAAGAATCCTTGCAATCTACAGCACAATAGATCCAATAAATGATAAATTAGGCGTACAAAATGTCAAATTCTTTTTTTTTTTTGGGGGGGGGTGTTTGGTTGGGAAGACAGAGGGCCACATCAAAACTACTCAAGGGATAAAAAAAAAAAAAGTGCGAAGCCCTTGCTTGCGTGATTTAAATCTGTTGTAAATTTAAAGATGACGTTTTCTTCCCTATTTACAGTTAAAAAAAGCACACAGGCTTCAGCAATCAAAGCATTTCATGTTTTTTGATTAAATGACAGAAACTTGCTCATATAATATCATTCTTCACTGTATGATCAACCTTAGTTACTCATATAATATCATTCTTCTCTGTATGATCAACCTTAGTTTGTTTGATGTTGTTTGCTCTTGTAAAAGCCTTTTTAAGTTCAACTGATTACTATGCTAGAAAAGGCAAGGTATTGAAGGCATATACATATAATGTCTTCCCATGAGAGAATTATTCAGGTAAATAGCTCAACCAAAATGAAGATCAGAAGGATATCAGACATTACCAACCAACTCAAGAATAATGCAACGCCATTCCCAATGTAAAGTTTGGAGTTCTTAAGGCCAGCAACATCCAAGTACCTATTCATACAAGATAAAGTCGATCACAAGTCAGTGTTAACAGAAGCACATGATTGTAATCGAATTTCTGGAACATCATACTTACCATCTTAGATTTACAAAAGGAGTTGTGCTTTCAGATAATAGAACCATTAGCACGTAGATCTGTCCTCGACCACTTAGCAGAGATAATATAATTGAAAATAAGGACAGGCCATGGTGCAGTACCTGAATGCAATAAAAACTTGAGTTGCTTTACCCATTCTAGATTGTCTGGCCATAATATAGTTAACATATTCCAAAAGAAAACCATGATATTGTACTAATTAAAATTAAAACTAGTACGAAAGGTATTGATCTTCTTATACTCACATACTCCAGGCCCCCCAAAACTGGAAATTCCCACAGGATCATTGCCAGATCTGTAAGAAAATAGCCTACAGAAATCTGTATATTGGGAAAAAGATAGGAAAAAAAAGA